TTAATTTAAAATTTTATTTTTGGAATTTTTTGAAAGATATTTTAAATTAAAAATATATCTACACATCTATTATTTATTATAAAATGAGTATTACATTGACAACATTTATTAATAATACTATTGAATTTTATCTTAATTTTATAGCTAATCGTTCTTTTAAAAAATAATTATAACTTTGTTATATTATTATATTCTTTATTATACTTTAAATTTTTTTTGATGTTATTGCATCACTTTACGAAGTGTCTATATACGTAATTGCATCAGTTTTAGCACCTATTTAATTAGTTTCAATCGCGACAGAAAATGATATAGATGATTGTTTCTTTTAAACTATTTGATCGAAAAGTTACATAAAATTGGGGTTGCGTAATCATCCGAAATTATTATTATATTTTCGACTGAAAATCACTGGATTTATGCAATTTTTGTTTAATTAATGTCGTATAAAACAGACTGCTCGTACAAGTTTGCTTAAAACATGCGACGCAAAATACCCCAAAATGGCGGCTCAATAAGTAGGTCACACGTGTCCAGACCTTCTTATACAGACCTTGAGCACAACGATTGACAGCAGCGCCTCTTGCGGCAACCTCCAATATAGGGACAGAAAATAAGCTCGATTTCGACACTATATTTTCTAGCCATTGTATTGACGACTAACAAACGACCCAGATGGAGTAGACCATAAAAATACAGCGCCCTCTATAGTTCATGAAAAACGCGAATTGACTTTTGGTGATGAAAAGTCAAGGGATGGGAGATAGAAGGGGTCACGTGTCATATCTCGAATGGGGTCGGACTTAACGAAGGCTTTACTCGTTATTGGCATTTACAATTTTTTTTTTTTCTTTTTTATAAAACTCATCCCTAACCTCAAAATTAAGCTTTTTGCCATTTTATAATTATTAATAATATAAGAAGTTTTTTTATAACAAAATCTCATAACAGATGGCATGACTTCGCACACAATTTTATTTATTGTGATTAATAATATAATTTTTATTTTTACTTTCTAAATAAAATCTCATAACAGTCGGGAAAGTTACGCAACTCGTAGCTGGAATTTTTAATATAATGATGACTTTCCCATTAATATTCTTTACTGATTCAACTCGGCTGCATTAATATTTTAATTTTATAATTAACATTAAACAAGAAATATAACTGAAGATTCCAATATATCCTATCCTCGTATTTTTACATATTAATCATTGATTTAATATCCAGCACTTGTTATTGAGTTGCAATTTGAAAAAATTGTAGACCTATAAATTGCCACTGTCGTCCGTCCGTCTGTCTTTCCTAAACTTCGAGAACGAAATTAGATACATGAAATCCAAGATCAGATATAGTAATCTTAGGGGCAGAAGCCCCGATTAATTATATATGAACATCCGGTTTGCATCGAAAGTCACATTATTTCAATTCAAAACCTTTTCCCTGAAAGCAGTTATGCGTAGATAATCAGCACGACTCTATCGTTAAAAGAAAAGTATGATATACAGGATGCAAGATACTACTAATTTGAGGTGGAGAGCATATATTTTAAATTAAATAAATTAAAAGTACAATTAAAAATTGCAGCTCGGCATTGTGACGATCTCACAATAAATAATTACTCGTTATATACTCGAATTACACATTGTAAATAATTTTGAACACCACGATTCTCCTATACAAACAGATCTATATCTATGTACATATCTATACAGCATTATCAAAGACTTGTTTAATGTAGTAAAAAGCCAAGTTCTATCTATATATAACACTCTTGTCTTCCATTTACAATAATTTCCTGTACGAAATTATTCTAAGCAGCTGGCGATAATTCAAACATATATATATGTTACCGTGAAAGACCGAAATTAGAGAATGTCGATATTCTCCGGTGAATGTCGACACGTACAAAATACGTCGGTGAAAGATTGAATATTTGGTTATATTATTATACATTCGAACAATCGCCGGTGTATGTCGACAAGCACAGATAAGCTTTGGTGGAGGTCGAAACAACACCCGAGAAGTCGACAGAAAGGCGACAGTCTGTCGCTAAATCCTTTGTTCTGCCGCGATTGAAATTATATGGTATCTATTTGTAATAGTCTGGAACACTGCTGTTTGTCAAGTCTTATGCAAGGTTTGCTGGTGCGTGCAACGTTTTCTTAAATTTTATTTTTTTATTCGATACCCTAATTTATATTGAATGGATACTGCAGTAAACCAAGAACTTTTTTTTTTTTGAAAAATTACGTGCATTAATTGCAAGTAAACAAGAAGACAATTGTTTTTATTTTTGTAAGAAAAGTAATCTAAAATACTTTCTGTATGATTTCTGCTAAAACTAAGTGCAGCACACCTTTGGATTAAAGACGATTAAGATGTTTTGACGTTTAAAAATTATTGATGAAGAGTAGTGTTTTTCAACCTTCTTGAATAAGTGATCCCTTTACAAGTTAAAAAATTCTGGCGACTCCCCCCAGGGCCATATTGAAACTGTGTCAGTGATTTTAAAAACTACATACTGTAAGGACTCTTTTTATGCGGTGGATACGTTCTACAGAAAAGCGCATATAAAAAATTCGCATAAAAAAGACTTTACTTGCCTTGAAAAAGTAGAGATACGTTCCGTAATTTTCTAAAATCGCATAAAACCGAAACAACGAGTTAAAATTAACTTAAAACCGCATAAAAAAGTTTGTAGAAATTAAAAGAAATAGGCTGCTAAATAGTTCAACTTGAAATCAGCAAAATTTAAACTCGCTACTTATTATAAAAATGAACAAAACACCGCTAAAATAAAATTTAATTTCAAAANAAACAACGAGTTAAAATTAACTTAAAACCGCATAAAAAAGTTTGTAGAAATTAAAAGAAATAGGCTGCTAAATAGTTCAACTTGAAATCAGCAAAATTTAAACTCGCTACTTATTATAAAAATGAACAAAACACCGCTAAAATAAAATTTAATTTCAAAACAATTACGGTTTATGCCTTTCAATGCGAAACTCAGAATGATGTGATAGTGACTTGTCTATGGTATCATGTACAAGGGGAATCCCCGAATTGCAAAAGCTCACTCTAAAAATAAATCACTGACATCTGGATGTGAAGAGTTAATAAGACCTTGTAAAATTTTTTTTTGAATTTTTGGAATGTTTTTTAAGTCTCCAAATTTTTAAAACATATTTAAAAATATACGGCCAGCTAGTGTTCACCCTACTTTAAACCCTTGTCCTCCCGCGACGTCTATGAGGGCCCACCGGTGGCCGAGTGGACCCCGTCTCCACTTGTTAGTGGTGACCAGACCCTAAACACCGGAGTTCGATCGGGGGTTCGCGCCTCACTCGGACGAGCTGGCAGCGGGAGTTTTTTCCGGGTTTTCCTCCTTGCCAATGACGCCTGAATAGGGGCCAGCTTTCCCTCCAAGTCCTCCAGGAAGGCATTCTGTCTCCCTTTCTCGCGGGGGTCGTCTCTTATAAGACCGGCTTTGGTTACTTAGTGACCTCTATCCTGTCTTCCTCGGATTGGTCGTCTTCTATAAGACCAACTCTTCCTTACTATTTCTTCTGGAGTGAAAAGCGCATAGCTATAACACTCCTCTATGAGATATGACGTCTATGAGAATGCCTCGGGAAATCCAACTCCAGCTGTGTTCAAAATCATCCAGATGTGTAAACAATGACTCATCGTGTTAAATTTCACAGAAGGGCGAGACAAAGGAAGTTAAACTTTGAAGCTTTTTCTTCAAAATTAACGCATTTCTTTCGTTTTTTTCAGTTTTAAGTATTTTTTATGTTTAATTACATTTATATCAAAAATTGCTAGGAACTAAAGCGATTAAGGTAGATCTAGCTGTCCTTTACATCCATAAACGTTATATGTCAGTGGAACAAATGGAGTGAGCTTTGAGCGTTCCACGATTTTTGGAGACTGTCTATACGCG